AGTAGACTAAAACATTAACGATAACATTATAGCTGATGTAATATTGCTCATGATATGTGTGTGTATTTTATTGAGCTGCCTGGATTCATGCATCTATTGTTTTATCTGAATGTGAATTATTTCAAGTGCTCACTACTTCAAATGCTCTTGCTTATTCCCTTGTCTTTGAGAGCACCAATTATACATATGATAAGCCACTTGCTCTTATCCTGTGATTCAGTAATGCACTTCAACTTTTTCTTCAGTCTTTTCTGTTTCATTTTTATGCAGGATCTTTTGCTATGTCTTCACATTGAGTAATTTTTTTTGGCAGCATTTAATCTAATGCTAATTTCATCTATAATGGTTTTCATTTCCAGATGTTTGAGTTGGGTCTTTGTCTCTATTTGCTGATTTTTTCCCTCTAAATTTTTAATAAAAGGAAAGTTTTATAGATTAAATGTTTGTGCACACCAAGAACTCATACTGACATTTTAATTTTTATTGTGATGATATATAAAGATGAAGCTTTTAGGAAGTAATTAGGTGTGGATGAAAATGATAAAGGTGGAGTGCCATGGTGGTACTGGTGACCTTACTAAGTTGTAAAGAGACCCAGCGGGATTTCTTCATGTTCTCCCTCCCACCCACCTCCCTCCTGCTGTCCAACATGTGGATGTCCAAGGAGAAGATCATCATCTGCAACCCAGGAAGAGGCCCATAGTAGAACTCAATCATTCTGGCATCGTGCTTTCCTATTTCCTCATCTCAAGAACTATAATACATGAATGTTTTTGTTTAAGCTACTAAATCTTTTGTTATAGCAACTTTGTTACCTGATACAGAATTCAATTATAATAATTACCTTAACATCCTCATTAATTAATTTTATTACCTTTATAATTTCTGGGTCTCTTTCATTGGTTGATTTTTTCCCTTTCCATTATGAATTGTATTTCCAGCTTCTTTATCTGTCTGATAATAATATTCTACTCCTATTTTATATGACAAAATTATGTCAACTTCATAGATCTTTTGTTATACAGTGTAATTTTACATGTAAAAATTTGAACTTCTAGATTTCCTTCAATCACTAATTTAGATGAACCACACAGCTTTGGTGTGTTGTCTTTTCCTTGTCATTAAGACAAAAAATAGCTTTGCTTTCCTTTTTTGTTTCTTCTTGTCCTCTTCTCTGCCCATCTCATAGTACCTTTTACTTTTGCACAAGTTGTATCTTCCTCTTTCCTATCTAGTGTCTGTTTTAGCTACTCCTCACACATTACTGAGACAAAATACCCAACACCCAAAATTAAGGAAAGTTTATTTAGCTCACACTTAGTGGAGATTTCAGTCCATACTCAGCTGGCTCCAAGGAAAAGTGGCACATGGCAGTGGCAGCAAAAAGCAAAGAGCAAAAGAGCAAAGGGATGGGCAGCAGCTCAGGCAGCTAACTAGCCTCTTCGCCCCTTACACTGCAATGCAGACTACCTGCCTCAGGGCAGGTACAGCACCCACACTCACAATAATCAATCACAAACTCCACAGCTGCCCTATGACTACATGAGGCTTTAGGGGGATAAATAGACACAAATCATAACAGTGTGCCTTACTTTGCCTTAAAATTTTAAAAAATATTTTATTTTTTTATTTGGTACAGGGTGTCACTACACAGCTCAGACTCATAGCAATCCTTCTGTCTCAGTCTTCCCAGGGCTGGGATTATGGGCATGTGCCACCATGCCCAGTTTCAGTATCCAGCTCAGCATGCCTGGGATCCCAGGACCAACATGGTATGTGGTACTGGGGATCAAAGTCAGGTCCTTGTGCTTTCCAAGCAGGTGCTTAGACTACCAAACTATCTTCCAAACTCTAGTTTGCTTTTTGATTTACTTGTATACTGGGTTTCTCATACAGTAGAAACCATGTGATATTTAAGGTTATGTGTCTTATTCATTTCATATAATACTATGGTCTCAAGGTGGATCCATATGCTTAAAATGATTCACATATATCCTTCTTTATGGCAGAATACCAATCTGTGAATACCACATTTTCTTTATCCAGTCATTTTTGGACATATAGGCTGCTTCTACAACTCAGCTCTTATGAGCCGCACCTCCATAAACATGGATATGCATGTATCTCTGTAATATGGTGTTTTTAAATCTTTTGGGAAGATATCTCAAAAAGAAATAGCTGAGTCAAATAGAATTACTCTGTTTAATTTTTGAAGAATCTTTATACTGATTTCCATAGTGGTTGTATTAGTTTAAATTCCCACCAACAATGTTGGAGAGTTTCTGTTTCCATGTAGTCTTGTCAGTATTTTCTATTAGATATCTTGAATATAGCTATTCTTTTTGAGTAAAGTGAATCTCATTGTTCTTTTAATTTGTATTTCCCTAATCACCAGAAATATTTTATTATCACCTAAAGAGAATAAAAAATAGTTTTAAAAAGCATAAACCATACAGAACTTCATCAAACAAAACAATAGGAATTTGACAGTGGTTGCTGTATTGAGTAATGTTGTCTTCCAATTAGTTGTTCAGATTACCAGATATAAGCATGCAAAATTCATTTAAAAAGTTATAAGAAAGTTAAGAGGACAAGAAAAAAATAAGCATTAACTGCTTCTCTGTGTAGACAAGCAAAAATGAGCAGTAGAATTATCCAAGGCATCCTACAAACATGGAGAAATACATCTCTTTCCAATTCCTATCTTTTCCCTCATGCATACACCAGAGATCTTGAATGGTTGTTTTTCATGTACTTACTATCAATTTGTCATTCTGAAAGGTGTCTATTCATTTGCATTGCCAATTTTAAGACTAGGTCTTTTATTTTGGGTGGTGCCTATTTTTTGAGTTCTTTATATATTTGTGATATTAGTCTTCTTTCCAATGTATATCTGGAAAAAATTTTCACTCCGTAGTGTTTTCCTTCATTATGTTGATTGCATATTTTGCTGTGCCTAAGTTTTTTTTTTTAATTTGGCAGAACTGGGAATTGAACTCAGGCTCTTGCACTTGCCAGGCAAGTACTTATTCTACTGAGCTATCACCCTAGCCCCCTGGTTTTTAAATTTTATATGGTCCTTGATGTTATTTCTTATGCAGCTGGTGTTCTCTTCAGAAGGTCCCAGCTGATATCTATGTCTCTAAGAGTTTAACTGTTTTATCTTGCAATGGATGAAGTGGTTCTGTTTCAATATTTAGGTAATTGATCCATTTTGATTTTAGCATGTGGTTAAAGATATGGCTCTAGATTTGATTTTTGGCAGCCCCATTTCCTGACCCCATTTATTAAAGAGGCTCTCTTTCCTCCAGTGTATGCTTTAGGCCCCTTTGTCAGAGACCAAATAGTTCCTAGAGCGGTTTCTCAATTCTTTGTCTGTTTCATTGATCTGTATGCCTGTTTGTGTGCCAGTAATATTCTGTCTTTATAACTGTAGCTTTGTAGTGTAACTTGAGTCCAGGATTGTGATGCCTCCGGATTCGCTCCTGTTGCCTAGAGTTGCTTTTATGATTATTAGTCTATTCAAGTTCTGTATTAATTTTGGGATAATTTTCTGTAATTCTGGGAAGAATGCTCTTGAGGTTTTTAATGCAATTGTATTAAATCCATATACTAGTTTTGATAATATGTTTATTTTGAAATGTCTGATGATTCTTTATCAGATATGAGGCATTGTGAGTTTTACCTTAATGGCTGCTAGATGATTTTGCATTCCCATAAATATTTTTGAAATTTTGCCTCATTAATGGTAAAGTTTTTGGTAGTAATTTTTTCCTTTTGAGGATTTCTTTTCAACTTTAATAGGTGGACCAAAATAGCCTCAATATTGGGCTAACTTTATTCCACCACAAGGCAATGCCATTTGCATTATCTTATCAATAGCCTGTGAATTTTTTTCCATAAATTTATTGAGAAACAAATAGCAATGAGACAGTTTCAAACCAAATTAGTAGGACAGTTTCAATAATTAACACATTGTATACATTCTTCCTAGTGGTTAATTGCTGTACAAGATGCAGACATGATATCCTATTTACAAACACCATTAGAACAAATGCATCTATTCATTAAGAGAATGTAACTGTATATCAATCCTAGCCATTTGAATACACAGATACAAAATGGACATTCATCTGCATCCCCTTTTTGTTGTTAAGTTCCATTATTTGAATATTATAGGTGTGTAAACTCAGCAAAATATTCTAAAAGAGTCCAGTAGCCCATAATAGCATTGGGTCTTCTGTTTAACAGGCAATGTCAGAAATTGTTGATCTGAGTCCCCCACAGCTCAACATAACAACATGGCTTTACTTCCTATATTTCATCTTCATACTTTTCTACTGGATGGTTAAGACCAAGGTAAAGCAGGACCTATGCAACAAGAGTTGTAGCTTTTGGGTCTGATAAGGTCAGTGAAATGCCCTCAGGATTTATCCTGAGATCCTGTACCTCAGATTGTAGATCCTTTGTCAGTGTCAGCCATGTGGATGAGTCACGGCCATTGCTTGGCCAATGTGCTCTCTGTGAAAGCCTGAGAGAATGTTTTCTCTCCATGTGACTCTCCTTATAGCCTGTGAATTTTAAGGTTTTTATCAGTATAATTAAAATAAAACATTCCCACCTCTGTGTGAACTTCAGATTGTTTTCTTTAATCCTGTAGTTTTTTTCTTTAGTTTCAATCCATTTCCTTACAATACTCAGCTACAGATTAGGCTAGGATGCTTTTAGAATTTTGGGTGTTCTGTTTTTATGCAGAATTTGTCTTCTCCATGATCTTCCCTGAAATCTTTACTGTCCTGAGCCTTTCCAGATTTTCAGTTCAGTATTATTAATTATTAGAGATTTCTTGCATTCATTAAGCTCCTTTTTCCTGTACTTTATATCCTGGAAACACTCTCCCAAATAGAAGATGATGTGTTCATATGGTTTGTTTATTTTTCCACAGGAACTCTAATGTGAACTAACTCATATCTCATATGTAAAAATTATTATTTTTTTTTCAGGGGAGACTATTAATGTAGTCCCCCACTACCACAAATTATGCAGTCAAGTTTTCCACATTTGGAGAAATCACAGGGGTCAGCATATCTGGAGTACAATGGATAAGCCTCGCCCTGGGAAAACCACCTTTGTGATTGTGGTATCTCTCCCACCAGTACGTAAGTATCGTATGTAAAAATTATTGTTTCAAATGTTTTTCAGTGTTTTCCTTTTACAGTTTTCAGTCAGGAAAGTAAGTCTGGTTTCTACTGCTCCATCTTACCTGAAAGAGGACTCCCTTTAGTTTTATTCACTACTACTCTTGGCCCTAAGGTCACTTATTTTTTTTGGGTTTTGTCTTGGCCTAAACAAGCTAAGGTCAGTGTATTAATTGGTATATATAGAAAGAAAGCACTAATGGGTTATATCTATCTATTTATCTATCTATCATCTATCTATCTATCTATCTAATCTATGTCTCTATCTATCTTTCTATCTATATCTATATGTCTATATATCTACATATCTATATCTATATCTATATCTATATCTATATCTATATCTATATCTATATCTATATCTATATATATAGAAAGAGAGAGAGAGAGAGAGAGAGAGAGAGATAGGAGGTTCTGAAATGGAAATTGCTTTACATAACTATGCACACTAGTCCCATAATATGTCACTTGATGGTGGAAAATGACAGGGTGGTAGGATTGCCCAGCCTCAAAGTAAGGGCTTAGGGACTTCAATGAAGGCTGAGCCAAGTTTTGGACCCCAAGGCTGGAGAATTTGGAGCTCTCATGTTCAAAGGCAGGAGGCAATAGATGTCCCAGCTTCCAGTACACAGTTTACTTTTTCTCTGCATCTCTGTTGTCTGGGTGCAGTCAGTGAGTTGGGTGATGTCTACCCAGCTAGGTGAGCATGCATCTCTCTTACTCAGTCCACTGACATCATTGCCAATCTTGTCCAGATACATCATCCCAGAGAAATGCAGAAGTTGACCATCACAGTCAGTGACATTTAAGTTCGGTTTGGTCCTATTTCCCTTGAGTGCTTTTCTCTAGTTACAGATATATTTAACTCTATCATTGTTAATATCATTAGACAGTTCAGTCATATAATTCTAGCCTACATTATCCACTGAATAGCTATTGAGTAGTGACAGTATGGCTACTCCAATTTGAGGTGTGATGTAAGTATAAAATAAAAAACTAGACAATACAAAACGTGTACAATTTTTTGTCATAAGTTACAAAATATGTAATACAACACATATAATAATGCCTGCTAACTTATTACATTTTGCAATGAAATTTTACATTTCTTTAAGCCTTTTCTTCGCTATGTTAAATGAATGTACTAGTGAGATAAAAATACCTGGGTGGCTCGTGCTATTCTTCTATTGGAGAGTAATTTCCAGAATATTTTCAAAATAATTTGGAAATGTCTGTCCTTAATTCTGACTGTCACTATATTATTTGCATTTGGAGAGAAAAGGATGTGCGAAAAAAGAGAGAGAAAGCAATGAATTGTCATTGTAGTTTTCTGGAAATGGTAACTTTTGCAAAAAGTTGTCACTTTTCCTTGGGCTACCCTTGACTTCTGTGTCATCTCTTAGCACATGATTTTTATGTAGGTCCACAATTGTGTGTGTGTGTGTGTGTGTGTGTGTGTGTGTGTGTGTATTCAGGACAATGGACCTTAAAGTATGGTCTCTGCTCCAACAGCATCAGGATTACCTATAAATTTGTAAGCCATAAAACATCTAGCAGATTAATGATGCAAAAATGCTGCACCTGGAGCTCAGCAATCAGTTTTGCAAAGCCTGTCTGTAATTCTGGTGTATATTTAACATGTTAAACATTGTCTTCAGGGTCTTCAACCTGCTTCTCTCCCTGAATTCTTTATTTCTGTTATTTTTTCTCTTTGCCATTAAGGTGCAAAACAGCAGTGCATCGTCGGTTCCTCCTTCCCTCTCAACCTCTTTCCCTCTCAAACTCCTCACATACAACGTCATTGGTTGACCAACACCTACCCGAGGGGCTTGGCCTGGACTGAAGATGCCCTCGCTTGGTGTTTCCAAATGTTTCTCTTTTCTTTTGCCCTCATTCTTGCTGCACTCTGGGTAAACTGAACTACTTTTGCTAAAATGCACTTCCCGAAGATCCATTTCCTACCTTTCTTCAAATTTCCATCTAAATTCTAAAAGTTTTCTTTATTCTTGAAAACCTATCTCAGTGCTCAAATATTACCTCTTATTCTTAAGCATATTTTGAAAATTTACTTCTAAGAGATTTATAGTATTTTCTAATACTAAATTCCTCCTTGACAAGTTGAACAAAATATCTACCTCTTTGAATCTTTTGGTATTTCTCCCTTTTATATTCTATCATTCTTTCATTTTAATATTAACACACTTGTTTTACCTCTCTAGTAAATGTTTCTTGAGGGGGGAATTTAAGTTTGTTCATCCTGCTATTTCTTAAGACATGAGGAAGACAAAACTAAAATTTCTCAAGATTTTTACACATTCTATTCTTGTGCTTCAAATATTCTTTCTCTACTATCTTCATATCTTGTTATTTTACTTTCTCAGCTTACTATTCAAATGCCATATCTCAGAGAAACTTATTTCCAGTATTACTCTATCACTGTTCTTCAGTTTTCCACCACATTTTCCTAGTAGACATATACACATATATATGCTTATTTCAAATTAGAAACGATTTAATGAATGGTGTATCTAATTCCTAGATTCAGTCACTGCATTGTTTTCAAAGCCTGGACAATTAGATCTACCTTTAAGAAGTTTTGGAGAGTGAATGAGGTGATAGAAACACATCACATAACTGGCTTCTGTCATAGTGTTACGCAGAGTAACTGAAAACTGTTAGCATTGTTATTTATTAAATGTATGTATTTTGACAGGTTTCTGTTTTTTTCTTCCTTTGAGATATTTGGTTGCTATGATTTTGGATAATTATTTTTATGAATAATAAATTAACCAATAAATAATTGCTGAACAGTTGACCCTTGTGTATCATATAACCCAGTGGTCCCTAGTGTTTTTGGCACCAGAAATCAGTTTTGTCGAAGGCTGTTTTTTCCATAGATCAGGGATGGTGGTGGTTTGGGGATGATTCGAGTATGTTACATTTTTTGCGTACTTTATTTGTTGTTACTGCATCAGATTCTCAGTCATGCAACCTAGGTCCCTGGCATAACCAGCTCACAGGAGAATGTGAGCTTCTGTGAGAATTTAATCTTGCAGCTGATACGACAGGAAGTGGAGGTCAGGTGCTAACAGTAGCCATAGAGACGAGCTGTAAATAGAGAAAAGCTGTTCCCAAACTGGGCCCTTTGTATCCTGTTGTGTGTCCTGGTTCCAAACAGGGCACATCCTGGTACTGGTCTATGGTACCAATCTGACAATAGGACCAATCTGGATTATAGTTTCTTTATTTGTAAGCAAGAGAATTAGAGTCTTGTATAACTTCTTGGGGCCATGTCTTTTTGCTGAACAACTTGCTAAAAGCTCGGTGGTGTGGTAGTCTGGGGACACAAGTCAGACTCTACAGACTTGTTCCCTTTGGTCCTCTATTCCTCCTTTCAATCATACAGTATCCTCCTAGAAAAATAGACATGTGCCTCTTGGATGTGCCCAAAATAACCTTTCCTTCCTTTCTATATAAAAACACACATACATAATTTTCCCCATTTTCTCTTGATTCTTTCTGCCTTTCTGGATTCCACCCCCAATATATTCTTATGATAAATCGACGAACTTTTTATAGATCACTGAAATCCTAGTTCATTTGGTGTGGATTGTGCTGCTCAGTGTTTCTAAGATGCCGTGTGACAATTGAAGTTCATCACAGCGTTCTAAATTAAGGATCTAAGTGTGTGAACAAAAGCAGTTGTTCTCAGAGCCGGTGGCCCTCCATCTCTTCTGCATCTAACTCTTTGCATGTCTTTTGAGTAAGCATGCTGTAATTTTAGTGACCTTTTCACCAGTTCCTACAGATTCTAAATTCCATCTGGATGACTAATGATACGTTCCCTTTTTTCTTCAGTCATCCTATGATTTCATCGCATAAATGGTAGCTTGTTTTCTTTTCTTGAATACCTGGGATGTTACCTTTCATTTGAAAAGTGCAAACATCAGTACAACGGGAGCTGAATTATAATGTATTTGATTTGTTTGAAGCTGGAAAAGTTGGGACATATTTCTGGAGAAAAGCAGCTTTGCTTCTTGGGAAATACATATTTTCAAAGACTACAAATCTTGTCATTATTTCAGAATGACACGGGGATCAGGAAAAATAACCCTAATTCCTTTATCAATTAGGCAAGTAAGAGAAAACTAGTGAAGGGGGCTCACCAAGCAGTTCTGATTCTCATTTGATGTTCCTGTGAGCTGTGAATTTGGCCATAGAAGATAATATCTACGTCACAGAAACCATTAATGCTATTGTTTGGACTGTGGTCATGTTGTTTTCTCAAATAATGACACAAAATCATAAGTATGGGTACATACAAAACAAATATGATATACACATACATGTACACATATAATATATGTTTATGATACATATGTGCATGCATATATATATATTTGATAATAAAGATTTTCTGAAATATTATTTTCCAGATAAAAGTCCATTGGATAATTTACTTTTATTTTGTTATTTCCGTTAAACCTATTTCAAATCCAACAATATTCGCAATGAGTTAGACAAGAGAACCCTAGCTTATATTTAGCCTTTAATAAACGTAGGAGATAATGATAGCAGATTTCTCCAGATACTTCAGGATTTTCTCTATGTCTCTACTTTTGTCTATATCTGTCTCTAAATAGATGGAAGAAATAGACATAGATGATATAGATGTAGACATAGATGCAAATGAATACGCAGGTGCAGATGGACATACAGATACAGATCCATGCTAGACTTCCTGAGGACCTTCTGGATTTATGTAGTTATCGTTTGAGGTTGGGCTCAGTCTTTCAGCAAGTATTTATTGAGAAGCAGTATGTGTCAGGCCCAATACAAGCCCTGTGCTCAAGTCCAGTGGGGGAGATACACAATAGTAGTGTACAATGAATATTACAAAGACAATGCTGGGCACAATGGGGGCATGAATCTAATATAACCTGAGAGACAAGAAGGTCCCCTTGAGGAA